TTTTTGTGTTTGTTACTCTCTTGTAACACCTCTAATCTTCTGACGCTCATATGACCTTATGCAGTTGCGAGCGCCGCAAAACCTTGACTGAAACTATAAAAAAAAAGACTTACTAAAACTAAACTCCTCCTTCGTTTTTTTTCTTCTCGTATGTCACTTTCCAGTAACACCTTGAATCTTTGGCACTTTTTTAGATGACCTACTTTGTGTTGGAAGTGACGTAAACTCTTCAAATTATTCTTGGCCACTTATAGGATTTACTTGTGTGGCAGGTGCCATAAAACTCTTACCAAACTTATCTTCTCCTCTTATAGATCTATAATATGAATCATTTTTGTTGGAAGTGACGTAAAACTCTTTCCAACCAAACAAATAGCAACAAACAACAAACTTTCCCCGGCACTGGCTAGTTATTTAACCTGTTCGTATCTCGTGACGTTCAGATGAGGACTTGGCAGAGTTCCACGCAGCCCTCATGCAGGCTGGCCACGGCGACTACCACAACCTCAGCAACAACAACAACACCAGCGCCAGCAGCATCACCTCTGCCACCACCACCACCACCGCCGCAGCAGCAGCAGCAGCAGCATCATCATCCGCCAACTTTTCCTCCCTCAACAACAACAACCATTTGAGCAACAAAGACTCCGACCCCAGCCACCACAAGCTGGATTATGAGAGTGAGTCCGGAGTTCATAGGGTTGGAGTTCACAGGGTCAGAGTGCATGGGATTACAGTTCACAGGGTCGGAGGTCGCAGGGTTACAGCTCACAAGGTTGGAGGACACAAGGTCACAGTTCACAGGGTTGGAGTTTACAGGGTTGGAATTTACAGGGTCAGAGTTCACAGGGTTGGAGTTCACAGGGTCAGAGTTCACAAGGTCACGGTTCACAGGGTTGGAGTTCACAGGGTCAGAGTTCACAGGATCATGGTTCACGGGGTCGGAGTTCACAGGGTTGGAGTTTACAAGGTCACAAATCTCAGAGTCGGAGTTCACAGGGTCACAGTACACAGGACTGGAGTTTGTGACACACACTTTTGTTGCCTGGTTTTACTGCTTTTTCAGGGACAGTGCAGTTAGGCTGCTTGGAATAACTTCCACAGTCGAGAGTTAATTGAACAATTTAAAGTTTGATTTCTCAGTTGAAAGGTTTAAAGTTTGATTTCACAGTTGAAAGTTCATGCCACCATGCGAAAGTTATTATTTCACAATCGAAAGTTTATGTCATT